ACTGGCACGGTAATTAGTGGAAACAAAAATAGAAGACAAATTTGTTAGGGTAGAATAAAATTTCAATCTTTCTGCTTTGTTTTTTCTTTTTGCTATTAAGTAACCAGTTTTTTTTCTTTTGTTTTACAGTGAATTCAGTTAGTTCGTTGAATTAATTAGTTATTGAATCAAAAAACAATGAAAACGGTAGTTTACAGTAAAATGTCTGCCTTTTTTTTTTTTTTTTGTGAAACTGGTAACATTTTTTACGAAAATTTTAATAGACCAAGAATGAAGTGCAGTTTTGAAATGGCTGCAGTTTAAGAACCGAATTGTCAGGTGAAAATGATAAAAGTTGGTTTGGCTAACCTGTACTGAAGATATTTTCAAACAGTATGGATTATCTGTTTGTTCTACACATACATATTTTCTTTTAATTTTTGGATCAAATTCAGCTATTGTACAATAAGCCTGATTTGGCGAATATTTGATCATTGATATCAATGCACTGACATTACCTTAAAAAACCACCATCATTTTGCTGTTTGTATGATAAAACTGTAACAGTTATATTCATTTGTAGTGTCTACAAATTCAATAATTTTTTACCACCTAATCGGTGCTAATCGCTCAGTTATTTTTATAGAAAGCAAAAGCCAAATTAGTTAAATGACTAAATTTCAAAAAAACTTCTTTGACAGCGCAGTCTCATCAATGACATTCTAAGTGTAAAAGGTTTGAGAAAAAATTAAATTTGAAAAATTATACTTAACAATAAATTGCACTGTCAAATTAGTGCTGTTTTAGTCACTGAAATGACTTCTGAATATTTAGTGTAATTGACGTTTGTTACAAAAGTTTATAAGAAAAAAAAAAAAACAACTTAATATAAGGTTTTTTTACTGTAATCAGACAATCTTCCAAAAGAAATACTTAAATAAACAGGAAGTTTCTGTTCAAAATATTACTTTGCAATAACTTTTCTTCATTTTTTTTTCTGTCTACTTATATGCTATTAAGAAATATGCAAAAAAAGCGTACAGTTTCCTTAAATAAGCCAAACAAGACATCGGTTTTTAACCAAAAAAAAAAAATTATTTGTAAACTAAAAATTTCAAGATTAGTGAACAAACTGTTGCCACTGAATGTTTTTGCAGTGTATTTGGTTTGAAAAACTGTCTACTTGATTTAGTTAAAAGTGAAAAAGTTAGTCAACACTATTAGTAGTATACTGGTTGCCATTTGGTTGCTGCTGCTGTCTTCTCTAAAGAAACCCGAATACTTATCTTTTAATTGCAGCAGAAACAATTATTTTCTTTTGCCCTATCTCAAAAAAAAAAAAAAAAAAAAAA